TAAAGAGTTTCCAAGACAAACAAAAGAGGAGGGATTTCATCAACACTAGATGTATCCTACAAAAAATGCTAAAGGGAGTTTTACAATCATCAAGAAAAGATAATAACGAGCAGTAAGACATCATTTGAGGGTACAAAACTCACTGTTAATAGTAAGTATACATAAAAACACAGAATATTATAACACTGTAATTGTGGTGTAAAAACTACTCTTAAATAGAAAGACTAAAAAATAATGAGTCAAAATAATAATTACAACTTTTAATACGTAGACAATACAATAAGATACAAAAAGAAACAAAAAAGTTAATATGCAGAGAGATAAAATTAAGTTATGGAGGTTTTATTAGTTTACTTTTTGCTTATTTGTTTGTTTATGGAAACAGTGTTAAGTCCTTATTTACTTAATGGACTATATTATTTGAAAGCCTCAAGGCAACCTCAAAACAAAAAATTTATAACAGAAACCCAAACAAATAAAAAGAAAGAAATGAAATCATACCACCAGGAAAAAATCACTTTCAGAAACAGGAAGACAGTAAGGAAGGAAAGAAGGAAGAGAAGCCCGCAATACTACCAGAAAATAAATAGCAAAATGGCACAAATAAGTTCTTACTTATCAGCAGTAACACATTAGTCTATTTAGTAAATAGACTAAACCCTCTGATGGAAAGACACAGAGTACCTCATTGGATAAAATAACAAGACCCAATGATCTGTTGCCTACAAGAAACACACTTCACCTATAAAGACACACATAGACTGAAAATAAAGGGATTAAAAATATGTTCTATGTCAATAGAAACCAAAAAAGAATAGGAGTTTCTGTACTTATATCAGATAAAATAGATTTCAAGACAAAAACTATGAGAAGAGACAAAGAATGTCACTCTATAATGAAACAGAGGTCAATTCAGCAAGAAGATATAACAACTTTAAATATATATGCACCCAACAGTGGACCACCCAGATTTAGAAAGCAAATATTATAAGAGCTAAAGAGAGAGATAGGCAACATTACAACATTAGCTGTAGACTTCAGCACCCCACTTTCAGCATTGAAAATATCTTCCCGATAGAAAATCAACAAAGAAACATCAGAATTAATCTGCATTATAGACAAAATAAGTTTAATAGATGTTTATAAAACAACTCAAAGCTGGATACTACTTATCTCTTTAGAACATAAAACATTGTCAAGCATAGACAGTATGTTATATCCCAAAACAAGCCTTTAAACTACACACACTGCACCTGTTTGGGGGCAGGGGCGAGGGGAGGGAGACCATCAGAACAGCTAATTCACATGGGGCTTAAAACCTAGGTGACAGGTTGATTGTTGCAGCAAACCACCATGGCACATTTATGCCTATGTAACAAACCTGCATGTTCTGCACATATATCCTGGAACTTAAAGTAAAATTAGAAAAAAAGAAAAGAAAAGAAAAAAAAACATTAAAAAATTGATATAGCATCAAGCATCTTCTCTGACCACAATGAAGTAAAACTAGAAATCAATAAAAAGAAGAATTTTGAAAACTATACAAACACATGGAATTTCAACAATATTCTCCAGAATGATAAGCGATTAAATGAAGTAATTAAGAAGGAAATCAAAAATTTCTTGAAACAAATGAGAATGGAAACACAATATACCCAAACTGATGAGATACAGCAAAAGCAGTACTAAGATAAGTTTATAATTGTAAGTGCCTACATCAAAAAGAAAAAAAAACTTCAAATAGACAACCAAATGTTGCATCTTAAAAAGCTGAAAAAATAAAAGCAAACCAAACCAAAAATTAGTAGAAAAGAAATAATAAAGATGAGAGCAACTATATGTCAATAAGTTGGAAATTTTGGAAGAAATAAATTCCTAGACATATACAACCTATCGAGATTGAATGATGAAGAAATCCAAAATGTGTATAGTCCAATAATAATAATGAGATTGAAGCTGTAATAAAAATTCTCCCAGCAAGTAAAAGCCTGAGACCTCATGGTTTCGCTCTTGGATTCTTTCAAAAATTTTAAAAAGAGCTAACACTGATCCTACTCCAACGATTCTGAATAATAGAGGGGAGAATGCTTCCAACCTCATTCTATGAGTCCAGTATTATCCTGATACCAAAACCAGGCAAAGACACATCAAAAAAAAGAAAATTGCAGGCCTATATTGCTAATGAATATTGACGCAAAAATCCTCAACAAAATCCTAGCCAACCAATTCAATAACATACTAAAAAGATTATTCATAATGACCAAGTAGGGTTTATCTCAATGATGCAAGTATGGTTGAACATATGCATATCAGTTAATGTGATACATCATATTAACAGAATGAAAAACAAAAACCATGTGATCACTTCAATTGATGCTGAACAATTATCTGATAAAATTCAATAGTCCTTCATTTAAAAAAGCCTCAAAAATCTGGAAATAGAAGAAACATATCTCAGTGTAAACAGCAAAATGAATAAGGTAGTATTACAGATTATTAACCAAGCTATAAAAGAAATATCTGTTAGTTGATGCTGATATAAATGATAGACTCTTTTCTGTAATTCTATAATTGCTCTAAAATGGAAGTATATTAAAGAAATAACAGTTCAAGACAATTTCTAAAAAATATATTACTAAAATAACTACATCTTGGTAGTTAAAACTAACAACGTAAGACCTAATATTTCTACATAGAATTTTCGTGCCCATTTTTTCATTTTTTCCTCTGATATCACTGTGGTACAAGCATTATTGTTTTTAGTATTAATATTATATTCATCCCCTTTTTGTGGGAGAAAATTAATGCTTAGAAAAGATAAGGTGACTTTCCAAAGATCACTCATCCAGTAAGTAGCAGGGGCTGGAACTCAATCCAGGCATTATGACTTCATATAATAGGTTCTTTTCATTCCACCATGCTGCCTCCCATGTCACCACAAAACAAAGACAAGGGATTAACATTCTCTAATGAAGTGATTTCCATTATAACATCTGATCTGGCATTACAGTGTCTACAATGGAGGCAAGAGAACTGTAATTTATGAGCTCTGGGAACTTATTAAGATCAGATAAGTCATCAATAGATTAGTTTGTTGGTAATGGTGGTGGCCATTTTCTTGTTTGTTTTGTTATACTCTGCTTTGATAATGCCCAAGATTACTCTTTTAGCTATAATTTTGTATATTTAGATTAATATGTTTGTTGCTTTTTGCCATATTTGGATCTGTTCATATCTCTTTGGGTACTAATTTCTTATTTCTTAAAGTGACAGAAGATAAAGTTCCCTCTGTCTTTTAAAACTTAATTAAATTATGTATGGCTCATATTTGTGGAATTTTCAGATTTTAAAAATATGTAATTTAATTATAAAACATATTTAAATATCTAATATATTTACTATAAAAACATCCTAAATTAGCTGGTAATTGAAGATACTTTTTTGTCCTTAACCAAATTAAGAGGAAGAAAAATTAGAGTAAAATTTTTTTCCTAGCCAAAACTTCTCAAACATATATTCAGAATGTGTTCCACTCTAATGTATGGTGCAGTTACATGAGGATAGCTAAGCTAATTCGACACTGAATGTGTGACTCAATTAATGTGAACTGAATCATTACTAGAAAAGAGAAAAGATTAGGATAATGTGAGTTAAGTGCAACCTGAATGCTTTTCAGTCTACGGTGCCAAGAAATTGTTCCTTTCCAGAACAAGTAAACAAGAGTGCATCTGAAGGGAGGTAGCAGGCAATTTTTGAGCTTTTCATACCATGATCCCTTCTTATCAGTTCAATATTATGACTGAAGATTGAAAGAGTGATAATGTATTTGAATTAGACAGAGAAAGTAATATCACCTTGGACCAATTGTCTTAAAAGAAATATAGACTGTTCCCCTTCCCGAGTCCAAGTGATCTCATTGTTCAGTTCCCACCTATGAGTGAGAACATGCGGTGTTTGGTTTTCTGTTCTTGTGATAGTTTGCTAAAAATGATGGTTTACCGGGGCCTATCATGGGGAGGTGGTAGGGGGGAGGGATTGCATTGGGAGTTATACCTGATGTAAATGACGAGTTGATGGGTGCAGCACACCAACATGGCACAAGTATACATATGTAACAAACCTGCACGTTGTGCACATGTACCCTACAACTTAAAGTATAATAATAATAAATAAATTTTAAAAAAAAAGAATATAATACATTGTTATTAACTATATAAAAAAAAAAAAGAAATATAGACTGAACTGGGAGTGAAGAGATCTAAAACCAATCCTAACTGGTGGTTAGAAAATGATGCCTGGATGCAAGAAACGTAATAAGCAACATATTTAAGCACATTCATCCAACCAATCAATTGGTCATCTCCTACTGATTGTAAGCTTGTATGTACTTGTGTTGAGATTTAAATTCCACCATTGTGTAATGTTGAAAATACAGGTAGCCCGCTTTTATTATTGTAAATTCAATAGCCATCACGTTTCACTAAATAGTAAGAAATAAAAGGTGGAAATGACATTGTGAAGAATGCTATGAAACTCTTAGGCTTGAAATTCTTTGAGGAATATTTCTGATGTGTAATGAGTACCCCAGGGAGAAGCTTCAGGACATAATCAAATTTTTGAAAAGTATTTTGACTCAGGTCTAAGGGTTTCCTGCCTATTGACATAATTGTAATACCCACATAAATCAAAGAATGTAGGTTTTATGTTTGTGAATATAACAACTATCACTAGCCCTGTTGGTGAATTGTACATAGTTCTGGTTACATTTCAGATATAAACACTAACCAGCACACTTCACTTTAATGAAAGGTTAAGTAGTAATTATAGTAAAATATCTAAGATTGGAAAACAAATTTTGATTTTACTTTAATCCAACATATTTCCTTTAGAAGTTGGTATGCCTAAATTTCCATTACATGTTTGTACTCTGATTAGAGAAAAATTAAATTTTTTACAGACTTATATGATGAACCATATTCTCATCCTTACTTCCTCTTCAGATTAGATACCCAGCACTCTGAAGAAATGAACGCCACCGGATCTGAAGAGCAGTTCCACGTTATAAACCACGCAGAGCAAACTCTTCGTAAAATGGAGAACTACTTGAAAGAGAAACAACTATGTGATGTGCTGCTAATTGCAGGACACCTCCGCATCCCAGCCCATAGGTAAGTATTTTTATGTATACAGAATGGTTTTGAGTAGGGCAATTATAAATAAGAGATAATAAGTACATGGATTGTAAATTGGAATATTTGTAAAAATACTTATTTTCCTATATTGAAAAAGTGCTAGCCTATATGATCTGTTTCTCTGTGTATTATTTAGAAGAGCCAAACTCTGAAAAGACTGATGATGGAAAGTATAACACAAACACACCCTCTAAAAAACATCAGTTTACGTGTTTGACCTTTCTAACTTCACTACGCTTAACTGAATTGTAAAAGACTTTATGGAGAAAACAGACTCACTAGTGTTACAAACTTGCTGAATCCATTTCATGCTTTTCAGTGAAATTATTGACTCATTTAAATTCCTACAAATATTTCCTATTTCCAGGTTGGTTCTCAGCGCAGTGTCTGATTATTTTGCTGCAATGTTTACTAATGATGTGCTTGAAGCCAAACAGGAAGAGGTCAGGATGGAAGGAGTAGATCCAAATGCACTGAATTCCTTGGTGCAGTATGCTTACACAGGTAAGTGCTTAATACACACTAACTCATAATGACCCTACATGATATAACACACATTACTAGTAGTAGTAGTAGTTATTATTGCTACTACTACTACTCTTCTTCAGTTTCCTCAGTAGTAGTAATACTGCTACTACTACTACAAAGGTGAGGAAACTAAAGAATAGAACAGGCAAATAAATTTCCTAAAGTAATAAAAAAGCATAGTCAGGAATAGTCAGGACATAAACTCAGTAATATAAAAGATCAAGAGGTATATAATATGTAGAAAATACCTTATACATGAGAGCAGACAACTATTTAACAAACATACAGGAACAACTCTGGAATGGTGTGGGCACATTCTTGTTTGCAAAAAGAAGAGTAAGAGTGGGATCTTCCAATCCTACAGTAGACATTTAGTCATTCTATTCATTCAGAATAATTTTCATATCTACTCAAACTGTAAATAAAGGTAACAATGAGTTTGGGGACTAAAAAGTATTTTGACTTTTATTCCAGAATGATTATTTCATTTTCAGGGTCTCTTAGTATTAAAATACTTTTATTTGGTTATGTATACTTAGGCTCTTCTTAAGACTAAAAGCTTACCTCCTAGTTTTCTCCAACAGAGTCATTTTCAAACATTTTCCCTTGCACTGCCAGTAAAATAATTTTGAAAAACGATGTGCTCTCCTTACATTTTTCCATTCATGACTAAAATACCTTGTAATTTTAAATGTTTGTAAAGTATATAATCCCCCAAATATTGTAAATATTAATCTTTTTATAAAGCACTATTAAGTTTGCATTTTAAATGTATCTAACAAATCTCAATCCTGTAAGAATTTGAAACAACAATAATTCATTTAAAAATATATCTATATGACAGTCCCTCAAAAGTTAAACAAAATAGCTACCTGATAACACAGCAATTCCATTCGTAGTGATATACCCAAGAGTTTAAAACATGTCCACACGACATTGTGTACACAAATGTTCATATAAGCATTATTCATAAGTAAAGAGTAGAAACAACCCAAATGTTTACGAACTGAGGAATGGGTAAATCAAATACGGTATATGAACACAATGGAATACTAATAGACAATAGAAAAGGCATGAAGTAGTAATAGATACTACAACATGGATGAACTTTGAAAATATTATGCCAGATAAAAGAAACTTGTCACAAAAGATCGCTTATTTTAATATACCATTTACATTAAATGTACAAAATAGAAAAATGTGTAGAGGCAGAAGGTAGAGTCTTGGTTGTAGGAATATGGAGGGAATTGGGAATGAATGTCAATAGGTATGAGGTTCCTTTTGGGAGTGATGAAAATGTTCTGTAATTAGATAGTGATACAGGCCCTTTTTTGAATATACTAAAAAACACCAGATTGTACATTTTGAAAGTATGAATATGATGAATATGATATGATTTAGATCCTAATAACAATATGTATGAATAAGCTTTTATTTCAAAGTTGTTCCTGTGCCACAGCCCCATAATGTAGCATAGTATACTTTGGGATAGATGAGGAATGTGACTTCCTTTCATGAGGCGAGAAAAAAGAAAATTATGGAAAGGACACTGGGAAAGTAAAACCTGTGTGGTAACAACTGTTTTGGGAGCAGACCATTTTTTAGGAGGGGTATGTATGGAATTTGAGGTGCTGAAATTTCTTTACATCAAATTGATCTGTGTCTCAGACAGGTTTTATATAGCTCTAGTGGTATGCATACTCTTTGAAGACCACTGTTCTAACAAAACTGCTTTGAAATTTCACAGTACTTCATTCCTTCCTTCAACTTTCACCTTTCTCCTGAGAAGCCTTTAAACAAAAATATTTCCTAAATTTCCATTATGCTCTAAAATTTCAACAAACTTTTTAAAATTGGGAGTGAAATAGAAAGAACTTTATTTCTTCTACCTGATACATTTTAATCCTTAGAAAACATCTTTTTGTTCCCAATGAGCATTCGTAGGATAAAATAATTCAGCCAGCTGGCTTGACTATCCTTTTACTCTTTAATGAAGTGAAACTTGAACCAGCTCCAAACAGCCTTTCCTAAGCATGCTTGTAACTGAATACTGTACACTGTAATACACAATGGTTTCCTACTGTGCCCGAGACATTTATAACTATTCCTCCAGATGAATATTCTTTCTAATAAACAGACCAAATGTAAATGTCTGTAGCAGATGAATATTTATATCTGAATTGGAGAATAGTTCATACTTCTCTAGGTCTCATGAGATATGGGCAGGGCGCTCTCTTCAAAATCAGAACAAGAACAACACGAGAAAGTCTGCTGATGGGCTGGACCCCTTTACAATATATTTTACAGGTTGAACTATGTATAGAGGATCTCGCAATATGTATTACTCTTTTCTTCATGGTTATGCAACGATATGGGCCCCATATTAAGGTATTTTGGAAGGAAAAACTTTAGAGGAATAGTTTGTAATTGATATCAGCCATTTGAAACATTCTTTATAACGTGGCTAAAACAATAAAAATCAGGAATGACTCATAAAAATAATGTAATTTTTGCAGTAACTAATCAACAACACTTGTTCCAAAAATAATACAGACATATAAATATAAAAGGACTAACTTAAATTGCTTCTGATTTTGTTTTCAAAAATTCATTACAGATATTTTCAAAAAGAGTCAGATTTTTTTCATAACAAAGCAAATAAGTAATTCTTAATTTGTAGACTCTTGGCAACATATGCTTCCTCTTGAGACAGTGCCAGGGGTCAATTCCAGAGATAATATTTTGGGCAAATACATCTTTACCAGCTAATGTAGATACAAAAAAAATAGACATAAAAGCTCAGTGTTCTTCTTACAAAATAAATGAACAATTAAGCTTAATGTGTTTCTTATTTACCAAGATGTTTACCTCCTCACAAATGACAGTTACTTGCATGGCCAGTTGTATGATTCTTATACAATATGACATAATGTTCTTTGAATTGCAATGAAAGAGTTTTTTCAACTTTATGCAGGAATGATTTAAAAATTAAAATTGCATGTGTTTAAGGTACAACGTAATAGTCTCATGTACATATGCAATGTGCAATGATCGATATAAGATTTAAATGCAGGCCTGAGATGATAAAGAAATAACAAGTTGCTCTTCTTTACAATAATGTTATTCATTGTTTTTTTTTTTTGCTATAGTCATTTTTGATAACCTAATCTGGTTCATTTCAGCCATCTTATTAGTGCTTACGGACAGACTGTCTTGCGTCTATTAGCCTCAAAATGTGCTCCAGATCTGTTGAAAAGCACAGCTCTACTAGAGAGGAAAATAAAAAGAAATTTAACTAGTTGACATACCTTTTACTTTATGGAACTTATAATCATTCTTTGCTTTTTCAAACCATCTAGGAGTCCTGCAACTGAAAGAAGATACCATTGAAAGTTTGTTGGCTACAGCTTGTCTTCTGCAGCTGACTCAGGTCATTGATGTTTGCTCCAATTTTCTCATAAAGCAGCTCCATCCTTCAAACTGCTTAGGGATTCGATCCTTTGGAGACACCCAAGGCTGTACAGAACTTCTGAATGTGGCACACAAATACACTATGGTAAAATCAATTGCTTCAACTTAACTTGTAATAAAAATGTTAATGTTGTAATAAAATTAATAAGCAATATAAACTTATATAACTTGTAGATGACTTTCACAAAGTATATATTGAACAAAAACATTTATCTGGTTGAGCTGCACTCAAGCAAGCTTTTCCTTTTTTGAATTACAGATGTTTAATTAAATCCCCAAACTTGAGGAAATAAAAATACGGCCACAAAATAAATTATACAACTGTATATTTCAAGTAGAATCTATAGAATTAAGATAATGTTAATTCCCTGATGTTTTTGCACAATTAGAGCTTTAGTTTGTAAAATTGCACAAATTATGATTTATAAAGAAAGTGAAGTGTCTTTCAATAAGGAAAAATGCTAATATTAACGGGTCAATAATTGTCAAAGCTTAAAAACTACCAAAATTAGTGGCACAATCTCAGTTCTCTGCAGCCTCTGCCTCCTGGGTTTAAGTGACTCTCCTGCCTCAGCATCTCGAGTAGCTGGGACTACAGGTGCCCGCCACCATGCCAGGCTTATTTTTGTATTTTTAGTAGAGATGAGGCTTCACATATTGGCCAGGCTGGTCTTGAACTCCTGACCTTGTGATCTGCCCGCCTCGGCCTCTCAACGTGCTGGGATGACAGGCTTGAGCCACCGTGCCCAGCCCAGATAATTTTATTGAATGAACTTCTTTATGTCTTAGTAACAAATTTTACTTTGGTTAAAAATAACTTACACTTCAATTCATTAATGCAACTAACTTAAAATCCCTTTCAATTCTATTAACAAATCAAAGGCAAATGTTCATAGGTGGTAATTATTTAAATGTTGCATGTGATAAGATAGAGCATGTTAAATGGACAGAGGATATTCAATAAAGCCTTACAATAGATGCTAATTCTTCCCTGATGCAGAGTAAAAATAAACTTTTTTAACCTCTGAAGAAGGGAAGGACACAAGATGGATCATTTTGTGAAACCCAATCAAAATATTTCAAATAAATTAAATTGCTTCAGTTATTTAATATTAAAAAACAAAAAGCAATTGTATACAAGTGAACAATAGAAAGCCACACGTTGAAATCATAAATGTAGCATTTTTTAGAATAGAGATGCATATAAAGAGTATTTTTCTGGAGTTTTATACAGAAGGTAATTTTTTAACTTCTAAAATTTTAATTGTTTAAAAACTTCTTATCAAATCTTTCTTCCTCCTACTTCCCACCCTAGGTCCATTGCTCAAAATTTGAAGTTTGAAACATATTCCTCAAACAATACCATTATATGGAGAATCATATTATAATGGATTGACATTTTAAAACATATCATTTAATTACACCATTTATGTTACTGTGTCCTAAATACAGATGCCATATAATCTAAAGGAACAGGAATTAGGAAGGTCAAAGTTTTATTCTACCACAAAAAATAAACATGAAAACTTCCTATTAAATTATTTAAATTCTTGAACTAAGTATTAGCAGTTTCCTGTTTCGTATTACACACTTGCAAGCAAAATACATTCTGGAAAAAAAAGCTTGAATTATTTTTGTTGCTCAAAATGAATTTCTCTTCCTTTTCCTATTATGTGACCAAAACAGAGTATTGAAGCAGGGTGTGCATGAAAATGTAATATTGTTGTCTCTCTTAATCTCTCTTCTTTAGTTATGTTAGTATCTATTGTAAATACAGTAAAATATGTAAAGATCTTGCTATAATAATGTTTTTGCAGTACTATATTGATAGTTTAATAATGCAAATAATTTTAATGTCTAAGAATAATATTACACAATTTAGGGATTCAACTGTAATCATGTGCATTGGTAGACTGAACAAGGTAGATTGCCTTCCCTGATGTGAATGGTCCTCATGCAGAAATACCCTCACAGACACACTCAGAATGCTATTTGGCCAAATGTCTAGGTACCCCGTTACGCAGTCAGGTTCACACATAAAAAATAAAAAACCATTTAAATCATATAGATAGTTGTCTGCACCAATGAAGCATTTAGCAAATATGTGATAGTCATTTGGTAAATTTTGCAACAATATAAGTGTAGATTTTTATAAAATGAATAGTTAATCCAGGGCACAAAAGAAGTCTCCCTTGGAAGGTGCATAGAATAAGTGTTTACCTTGAAATTAGGGGCAAAATAATTCCCAAATAAAACCATTTAAAATTTGTCTTTAAGTGAAACTAATTATTTCTATACAGTACTGGATACTGCAATGTAATATATGGATACTTTAAAATTACACTTACTTTTTATTTAGACTAATCTACTATATTGCCCAGCAATTTTCAATAGTCCCATTAGGAAGCAATTCTGGAGTCATAACAAATTCTATCAGAAAATCTAGGTTTTTCCTCTTTGTTTTTAATTGGAGAGTGGGTAGAAAGGAGGAGATATTGAGTTGTCCATAATATTAATGCAGTTTCAGAGTTTATATAAAATATCGGTACTATATAACCTTAACTTTTATAGTTTTATATTTGTCTAAACTCTTTCACAAAAATCGTATCACTTATGAAAAGCAGATGCAATATCAAACACAATGCAGTAAGCATGATTTCAGAGGCTTATGTTTGAATCCAGACTTTGCCACTTACTCCATAGAGAATCAGACAACTCATATGACCTGCTTTCTTATGAGACTAATTCCGCTTTCTCACAAGATCACACTGGTGATGACTTAATGCTTGTGAAAGAAATCAGTAAAGTGTGAAGTGCTGTACAAGTGTAATGTATTAATAGTTGTGGTACTATCACCATTATTTGTATAAGTGGGGGGGTCTTCACCCAGAGACATCTGCTACAGTAAGAACAGCAGTTCTCTTTCAATTGTTTGTCTTAATCACAAAGGGTTATTTGTCTAAATAGGTCAGTTTGAAACTTACGGCATCAGAGCTTTCTGATGGGTATGTCAACATTGATGATTGCTGTATGGATAACTTCCTTATTTGATTGATTCACTTCCACGATGACTAAACTAAAAGTAAAGCTGAGGTGGTGATTCGATTTATTTAGAGACCCCAATTATTCAGAGATTAGCTTACACTGTTCCTGAAATATCTGTTTATTGTACAACATAAATTGCAAGTTAGGTATGTTTATCTTTATTTTAGAAATATATTTCATTTCATTTAAAACTTGAGATCTTCACTATGAGAAATATTAAAAATGATCATTCTGTTGTCAAACAAAGAATATGTAATATTTATAAACTAGAAAAAATATGATGGTGTTTTGATTTAAAAAAATGAAACACAGATGTTTGAAACTGTATATTTGAGAAAATACAACACAATGAAAGAAGAAAGAATTGAGATATAATATATAAATTTATTTTTTTTTTGAGACAGAGTCTCACTCTACTAAAAAAAAATACAAAAAAATTAACCGGGCATAATATATAAATTTAAAAGACATCCTCCCTCTTTCCTAAAGAAAAAAATTCATAGGAGTCCTTTATAGATTGTCCTGAACCCATAGATTGCTACCAATTGTAAAAGAGTACTTTTCTCTTGGTTAATAGAAGATCATACTTTTCCATAAAAGGAAAGTTTTTTATCATTTTTTTTTTCTTATCTCTAAGGAATTCAATTTCTTTCTGCCTCACATGCATAGCCAGAGTTAACTCTCCTACATTTTCAAGATAGCCACCACCTTAAAAAGTTCCAGCCTTTCTCTTATGACTTTTGGCTGAAGACCAACTAGACAGTCAGCTCTGAAGTCATGAGCTGCTGTTGTCACATACAGCAGCTGGGAGCAAAAAGTGCCGCTTTTGACTCCAACACTGCCTGTGTGGGCTGTGAAGCAGTTAAAGCTTACCTTGTGTGTTCTATAAATAATTCCCACTGGAAGCATTTGGCCCCTCAGCTTCAGAAGGCTCCCTGTTATCCATGTCACGGGTAGCAGGAGCACCTATTTTTTATAAGTGGATACATCTGTGTCTCTTGCACTTTCTGAAGTTTAAGAACATGAAATGCTTTGATATGCTTATTCCATTAAGAAATTTCTAAAGTGCAGAGTTTTAGTCGATGACCTTTCTTTTCTAGGAACACTTCATTGAGGTAATAAAAAACCAAGAATTCCTCCTGCTTCCAGCTAATGAAATTTCAAAACTTCTGTGCAGTGATGACATTAATGTGCCTGATGAAGAGACCATTTTTCATGCTCTAATGCAGTGGGTGGGGCATGATGTGCAGAATAGGCAAGGAGAGCTGGGGATGCTGCTTTCTTACATCAGACTGCCATTACTCCCACCACAGGTATGGAAAATCACCTAGGTAATTTAAAATATAGTTCTGAACTACCACTAGGCGCTAATCCGTTTCTTATTTGCCTAATTTTATTTTCTCAGAAGATTCCTGGTAATTTGAGGGTACAAGATTTGTTTCACAGAAGGACATATTTAGCCATCAATTAGAGGCATTAATAAAAGACAGAAAAAAACATGGCTAAAAACAGCTACAGTTAAACCATAAACATCAGAATACTCATTAGTTTCATTTTCACCACATAATATTTGTACAAAGCTGGGAAAATAGCTAGGCTAACTCTTTTTTTTTTTTTTTTTCTGCATACCTTCTAGGCAAAATGTTAATAATCAGTACAATAGCCTTCTAGAGGACAGCCTAGGAAGGAGTCAGATCTTGAATAATATCTATTAATATTATCTGCTACCATCAAAAAATGCTATCATACTTTGGATGCACTATAACATAATCATAAAGGCATCCTCACCATATATGTTGAATTGAAGGATTATAGCAAAGATGATTCTAAGAACAAACACCTTTGAATAAGATCCAGGGTTAACTCACCTCATACTGAATTTTGGAATGCAGTCTCACCACATAATTTTACCATTGGTGATAACCACAATTTTTTCTCTGTAGCAAATTGAGCAATACAATGTCTAATAGGTGTGGATATATTGCACATATGCATGTAATAATATACTGATTTTGTGGCTATAGGCCTCAAATATCATCCAAATTAAAAACAGAGACCTTGTATAGATTTAGTGGATCAATAATGTTATAAATATTAACATGAATCCACTTTTGTAACAAAGTTACTAATTAAATGTTAATATTGAAAAATAGATTGTTAATCTGCTGATGATTTTTCCACTTTTTTTTTTTTTTTTTTTTTTGAGAAGGAGTCTCACTTTGTTGCCAGGCTGGAGTGCAGTGGTGCTATCTCGGCTCACTGCAACCTCCGACTCCCTAGTTCAAGCGATTCTCCTGCCTCAGCCTCCCAAGTAGCTGGGCTTACAGGCACGTGCCACCACACCCAGCTAATTTTTGTATTTTTAGTAAAGATGGGGTTTCACCATGTTGGCCAGGATGGTCTCGATCTCCTGACCTTGTGATCCGCCTGCCTCAGCCTCCAAAGTGCTGGGATTACAGACGTGAGCCACTGTGCCCAGCCGATTTTTCCACATTTTTTAAAACTTTCAGCTGATTAAATTTCATAGAACTATATGCACGCTCTTAAGAATCTATCCATATGCAATGAAAGAACATTGATTACCTTTCTGGTTATAGCAAATTTATCCAAAGAGCAAGGCAATAGTAAAGCCAAAAACAGAAATAACAAATATATATGTCATTTTAGATCCAAGGTTCTAAATCTTTGGATTGATAGATGATCTTTAGAATCTATGGAAATTTTATGTTTGGGTGAACGTTTACACTTATGTGTATTATTCTCAAGAAAGTTTCTATGATATATGAGATTCTCAAAGACTGCCTTTCAAAATGTTCCTGGGTCTGTGAACTTACTAAAAATACAATTTCTCATGTTCCACTGCAGACTCAGTTAATCAATTTCAGGGAAACAGGCTGAAGAATCTGTGTATTAACAATTTCTCCTTGTGATTTTAGGCATAAAAAACTTAAGATGCACTGGTGTAAGATCAGAGGATTATATCTTTACAGAGCCTTAAGTCTATAAGACATTTTCAGCAAAGTCAACTTCTTAGTTTGAACTTCTGTTATTTTATTGGAATGGAGGGACATTTCTAGCCCAAATATACAACCAACAGTACTGTGGTAGCCCACCTCTGAGTATGCCTTAGACCTAGAATATGGACTGTGTGAACTTTTCCTGTTGATGGTAGTGATAGGCAATGTCATGCAAATATAGGCTTTCCAAAAGAATTTAAAAGGTGACCTTACAAATATTTTAGAAATGAAACATATAAAAAGGATGGTGATGAATCTCTGAAGAGTATTTTTAGGGAAAAATACATAGCCTAGTTTTTAGACCTATTTCTAAAGCATATGCATTAAGCAAATGCCTGGACTCTCATGAGGCAGGTCAAAATAAAGATCCATCAGATATCACAGGCGGAGTGAGAACAGAACTGAAATTAACGCACGGAGAGCAGGAAAATTCAGAGAAGTTTAATGTAATAAGATTACCTCTTCTATTCCAGCAACCTGCTCACTATTCCTCTCAATGTCCCATGATACTGTGGACCCAAAACTCCAAGGGAACCAATCTAAGATGACTCTTGACAACATTCTGAAATATACTCTTGACTTCTCTCCAACTCATCTCATGAAAAATACTTTACCTCACTTTTATCAGTGTTAAATAAGGTCACTGTCTGCCAGGTAATGATAGTTAAAAAGAATTGATCATCTCTTTTTGTTAATATGCTGGCTAGTTACTAAGGCATGTATCTCAACTCAGTTAAAAAGCACATGCTTTCAGAATATTCTGCAGAAGTGATCAGATGATAAAGATACCATCCACCATGTCTGTTATTATTTTAACTGAGCATGTTTGCATGACCGCCACTACCAACACAACTACCCCAAATCCACCAAAAAGATTGCTACTTGTATTAGCCACATGCAGTAGACTAGGAGATTCTTGCTTGTGCAGACACAGCCATTCTCTTTGACTGCTTTCCGCAATACTTTCTATGAGTGCTTTTTGATGTTTGCTCCTTTAAATTATATGTGTATATTCAAAAGATGAATAATGTGTCAAATAAATCTGCAGAGATCATTAGCTACTACCAGCAGACTTTTAGTTATTTTCCTTGATAAGTGAAAATAAAAGTCTTGCTAAATAACAAAAAACATTAAATAATCAAACCTCTACCTTTAGGTTAGCTCAAGTTTTCTCTACCTCTACCTCCCAGGCTCAAACGATCAACCCACCTCAGCCTACAAGTAGCTGGGATTACAGGCACATGCAACCACACCTGGCTAATTTTTGTATTTTTTTGTAGAGACCAGGCTTCACCATGTTTTCCAGGCTGGTCTCAAACTCCTGAGCTCCAGCGTTCTACACACCTTGGCCTCCCAAAGTGATGGAATTACAGGTGTACGCCACTGCGCCCAGCCTGGAAAGTTACATAAATACAAATATGTTCTTTCTAATGGTGAACGCTCCGTTCATATGCCATGCATCACTATTTTGCAGTTACTGGCAGATCTTGAAACCAGTTCCATGTTTACTGGTGATCTTGAGTGTCAGAAGCTCCTGATGGAAGCTATGAAGTATCATCTTTTACCTGAGAGAAGATCCATGATGCAAAGCCCTCGGACAAAACCTAGAAAATCAACTGTGGGGGCACTTTATGCTGTAGGAGGCATGGATGCTATGAAAGGTAAAAATAACTTAAGAGTGTCTTCATTCAAAAAAGATACATTCTTAACAGCCTCCAAATTATAAGGGTGATATTAAAGCCATGTTAAATGAGTGCACCTAAAGCGAATTTTCATAAACAGGGTGCTTTATATGATGTTGTGACCTCATTTTTCTACTTACCTTATGAGACATAACCTTTCGATTAGTGTTGAACTCTTAATAGGCACTTTTACTTTATAGAAGCTGTTTTAAAATTTGAATATTTACTTTGCCATATTATATCTTTTCAAGGAAAACTTATTTAATGTTTGTGAACCCAAAAGTATGTGAGACAGGTCTCAATGAATTTACAAAGTTTATTTTGCCCAGGTTAAGGATGTGCCCATTCTGAACCCCAGGGGGTCAGGGTACAGCTTGATTTTATACATTTTAGGGAGATATCAGACATCAATCAATATGCGTAAGGTGTACATTGGTTCTGTCCAGACACGCGAGACAACTCAAAGTGGGGACTTCTAGCGCATAGGTAGATAAGAGACAAATGGTTGCATTCTTTTGAGTAGCTGATTAGCTTTTCACTGAATACACAATTTACATGTGAGGGAAGTACAAGAATACTCACTTATGCCTTAGACTGGCTTAGAGAATCTGCATTTTTTTTTCATAAACAATAAAGCAGAGGAAGCAATCAGATACGCATTTGTCTCAGCTGAACAGAGGGATGACATTGAGTTCTGTCATTCCTTTGTCCTGCACCTATGAAAATCAGCTGTCAATTTGCATTGCCAGGGTGAAATTCAACGTTAACTGCTTAAGGATAAGCATCTGGAGGCCCACAAGGAATTTCCTTGTGGGCAAATTGTGAGGGAGGTATGTAGCTTTAAAAAAAAAAAAATTCTCAGTATTTATCTTATTTAGGAATAAAAAGGTGGGGAAGGTTTGCCTGATGCAGTTCCCAGCTTGACTTTTCTTTTTGCCTTCTTGCCTGGGGGGGCCCAAGATTTATTTTCCTTTCACATGTTAATCACAAAGGAAAGAGACTGCACCTGGCAAAAGTCTGGCTGTTGGCCACTTGTAGAAAGAAGCCATAATAACAAGAGTGAGGTGCAATATAAAGAGCACAAGATTTTCTTTCCCATGCTAGTAAGGGGAGGAGTGGGTGGAATTCTTTCCAAAAATTCCTACTCTTCCATTTGTAGAGGGAATGTGGGGGTTTTAAAGAGAGGGTTTGGAGTGCAGAATAGACAGGGTGGTTAGGAAGTGGCAGGTGTTGTGACCCACTTCAGTGGCTTGTCTTGAATTATTTATTGTTCCATCTGGTTAAGGGGCTGGTGCCATCCTGGCTAGAGGTGTCTGGTCTGTATCAGCATGTGGCCCCTGAAGCTTCTAAGGAAATATTTGACGAGATAAGTGAGTATGGTGTGTGTTTATCAAGCATCTAGGTAAACAAATGTGCGTAAGGCATGGGAGCATAGAATGGGATAAGAAAGGGAGCGGAGGAAAGAAAACATTCCAAGGATGTAAACTTTATCTCAGAGCGACATCTTGAAACTGGGGGATGGTGGGAAATGAGGAAAGGATACGGGATAGAAAAAAAAAAAAAGTTTAAAAACTTGGTTTGAAGTCCTACTGGAATCACATTATTTTCTTTGATATATGTAATTGAAAATTGGAAGACTATATAGTAACTATGCTTATTAATCATAAGCCCATAAAACAAGAGATTGCAAATGCAAATATCTGCAGATTTGTAGGGTTACTTGAAGAACTGATGTTCTTCAGAAAATAACAAATAACAATATTTTTGTATTTTGTAACAATAATGTTACAAGATAGGTTTTATAGGACAATGAGATCCTATAATTAATTTCCAGTCTGGCAACTTGAGGTTTTATTGCATTTTGTTGACTAAATCGAATATTAAAGCATATTAAAAGATTTATTGTTTGATATTTAAATCACAAGAGTACTAAATAAAAAATGCAAGTGCACTTGTCCTTCATTTCTGACTTTGCAAAAAGCCTAATTTGCATTGTGAGAAATGGAAAATTTTGTGTTTGTCTGGTTTTTGTGTTTGTTTTTTATTTTTGGCATTTTATTTGGGCTAATCTTGGTTAACTTCTTGTTACCATAAAGAAATGTATTACAACAAATGTTTATAAGTATCTATAACTCCTCATCAGTCTCTAAAAATGAGTGAAATATGAACCTATAATCTCTGGACTCTATTACCAAAGTTTGTCATGGAAATAAATGAGGGTATGAGACACTTTTGAGTTCCTGGTATTTGGAGACACTATAAAAGGCTCATGGGACATTGCAGACCATTAAAAGAATAGTAAAACCTTACCTTTTTGGTTACTTAATCTTTGATTGGCATTTTGCAAACATCGTTTCTAATCCTCACAATAATGTTACAATGATGTCACCGCTACTTTTCCCCTCTTAAGGTTAGATAGCCAACCCAAGGATAAACATCAAGAAAGGCTGGAGATGAAATTCTTATTCAAATACGATGTTCCTTTTTCTACACTGACACTGTTACAGACAAAAGAACAACAACAAAACTCTTCGGGAATTTTAGAATCTATTAGAAAACCAGGGTAAACACGTAGTAACAAAAAAAAGGAAAAAGAGAAAAAGAAAGAAAACCTAAGAAGTATAACAAAAACATTAAATGGGCAGCATTTACCTGTATAAAGCAGTATGACATTGAAAAATGTACTACTTTACATATTTTCACAAAAGTATAAACATTAATTTCTATACTTATGCCTTTTCTTATAGTGTGTTGTTTCAGTTATTTTTAAAAGATGTTTTTGACTACATATTGAGTACAGTGTACACTGCTTGGGTGAGGGATGCACTAAATTCTCAGAAATCACCACTAAAGAACTTGCCCATGTAACCTAAAACCACCCGTAACCCCAACACTATTGAACTTTTTAAAATTAAAAAAAAATAACTTTTATATTTTGATGTTTAAGAAATACAGTGCTTCCTCAGTCTCTAATTTCCTCTCTGACTCATATAACAAGCTCAGAATTGCTGTTAAATATAGGTATCACACTAATGGAATGGCTGGGGCTAACTCTAACTCCTACCATGTATTTGAAAGAATCATTAGAAAGTGCTAAGTATGATCACAGAATCAAAATTGTTAAATTGTCAATTAGTAAACTTTGGATGTCTTGTACATAGACATCCATAGTATTTTGCAAATTTTTATTTATTTAAAAAATAAATTCTGAATAAAGAGTATGGCAGGAGACAAAGTAAAGGTTAATCTTGTCACTTTTGGAACATTTGTAAAGTAAATGGAGGAAATGATTACATCAGATATATTTACTACCGCAGGAACCACAGTGTTCTCAACAACACTGATAAGTTTGATGGGTTTTGTTCACTCTTGAATAGATGACGAACGAAGACTGGGTAAGAGCATAGAAATGGATTGAGAAACAATATATCAAACATTCTGAGGCAGAAAGTTATTTATACAGAAAAATTTTAAAGGAAAAGATAGTAAAAAAATTGAATTTATATTTTTCCATCTAATATAGAGCTGCCCTAGTAAAGCAGCTAGAGAATATACATTTTGATTAGCTGAAGGATTGCTGGGGGTGGACAAAGGGGCTGGAGAAGTCTTCAAACTTCAATATGTAGAACTACCAGTCATAAATGCTCATGTTGCAGTCAAAAGTTATGGGATCATTTTATCTTCTATATTGAATCTAATGCCTTGAAAAATTTAACCTGGCATCATTCACACATCTACATCTCTCAGTGTAAATCTTCTACATACAGCTGATTAATGTAGATTTGTACAATTTTCTAATCACTCCACCATTCATATCTTCATAATCATAACAATGAGTGCAGACTAGCTTTTATTTCCTAATCGAAATTAGGTCATCGGTAAAGTCCACTGACAAAAAGAGAACTAAAAGTTAAAATTATAGCAAGCAGATAAGAATACAGACATAGGAAGACTGGGATGAGGAAATGGAAAGAAGTAGAAGACATTCAGAGAAAACTGACTGATTAAACATAGAATAAAAGTAGATGTCAGTTCGTAGTTATTTCAGTTTTAACATTACCATTCAAAGATATTTAATGTAGAAAAGATATTTTGATAGGTGTTATAATTTGACCTCTTAGCAGTAAATATAGTCAGTAGAGCAATTGCTAATCTATAAGTCAGTATTCAGTAAAATCCATGTTATCACTGAAACAGGCAGTAATGATAGAGAAAGAGTAAATGAGTCCCTGTGTATTTACAAGTTTGTATTAGAAAACCCAAAATTTGGAACACAAATACTTACAGTGCACTATTCACCAGAATATATTTAAAGTTAGAGGAAGGAAACACGGTTTCCGCTAATTCAGTCTAATCAAGGAGCAGCTATATATTTAATATACACTCTGCTTAAATTTTGACTGGATATGACCCCATACTATTGCCCTGTAACTGCCAATGGGTTTGCTTCAAATGTTAACTACATCTTCATTATAACTAATGGACTGCATTTTCTTCACAAATCTCCCAGTAAAGGAACAACTGGAAAGTGTTTTTGCTTATTATTGTGGTTGACTTTGTGTAATTGGGATGAAATGTTTTAAACTTGCCACAAACTCTATTAGATACACTATAGATGTAAAAAATAATTCTATCATTTTCCACCCTGGTTATTATTCAGAAGTTTCCCTGTTGTGCAGCATCAGCTTTTACTAAAAAATAGCAGCAGCTATTACAAATGAATGGTAAGAAGCATTGCCTACTGAAGTGGCAATTCATTATGACAATAGTGATAGTTCACTTTGTCAATAGTGACAGTATACAATGGCAGTAAACTTTGTACATTAGTAACTGAACAGAAAATAAAATTATATTAACACTTAAAGTAATACCTTGTAATTCTATATTTTCAACTGTAATATTTTGTGCTACTGAAGCAGGTTCATTGTCTGGGGTAACACATGAGGTTCGTTGTCTCATGGCTACAGAAATCAAAGACAGGGACATACAAAGACTGAGATTAAGGGCAGAAATTTAACAGGCAAAAGAAAGAGAATAGCTCTCTGCTACAGAGAGGGGTCCTGGAAAAATGGGTTTCCAGATCTGTGATGAAATGCAGGGGGGTCTACAGATGAGCTGGTGAAGAGGTGGTGTCTGATATATATAGGGAGCAAAAGACTGGTTAGGACCAGGTGTGCCATTTGCATAGGGCACGAATCTCTGGCCACCCCCACACCAATCTTTTATTATGCAGGTAGGTTCTCTGCCTAAGCTGGCCATGTTACCCGTTTCTTTCTTACTGTACACGTGGTAACAAAAAAAAAGGGGAGATGAAGCCTCCATGTAGGAAATGCCTGCCCCCAAGGTAGCCCTTTCCAATCGGTGCAGCTGCTGGCATTCCCCTGTGCAAGCTTCCAGTTTGCTTATCTATGTCTGCAGCCTGATTTTTCAGGCTGCTCTTTGTTAGAAAATAAATGATTTGGGGGGCTGCTTTTGATTAGAAAGGTAATTCCACCAAGGACTCTCTTGCCCTTACTATCTGCATAAATTTCTCTCCACCTCTTGCATCATTACCATCATGGAACATTATGTGAATCAACACCAAAAGCCCATTTAACATTTTTTGAATTTTATTTATTTATTTATTTATATAGTTAGAGTCTCACTCTGTCACCCAGGCTAGAGTACAGCGGCGTGATCTTGGAGCCTCCGCCTCCTGGGCTGAAGGGGTCTTCCGACCCCAGCCTCCTAAGTAGCTGGGACTACAGGTGCATGCCACCACACCCAGCTAAAGGCCCATTTAAAAATAATTTTCATTCCTGGCCCTTTAGTTACACGTCTTTTAAATAAACACACACACACATACACACACACACACACACACACAAATACACACACCCAAAACAAATTAAAAAAGCATAAGTTAATATATTGAATGGTCATAAATAATTACATCTGTAACAGATGTGCAAACATTCAGTAATAGAATCCAAGGTATTTTGTCATAAATTATGTCATTTGACACTTGTGTTGATACCACCAGTAGAATAGTATAGCCAAAGCCAGCGTTGTAAGGGTATAAACCAAACATATTACATAAAACATTTTATTTTGACTCTTCTATTTGGGTCCAGAAGTGGTAAAAGATTATCCTTTGCTTTATCTCCCAGGTTGTAGAATTACCTGGGCTACTTACTTCATTTGAATTGTAATCACTGATACTGTGCTGTAAGTTATGGGTATATAATTCTAACATGTATAATACCAATTCAAAATGTCAATAAAAGTACATTTTACCATTGTTCAATATCCCTTTGTCAGGTACTACTACTATTGAAAAATATGACCTCAGGACCAACAGTTGGCTACATATTGGCACCATGAATGGCCGTAGGCTTCAATTTGGAGTTGCAGTTATTGATAATAAGCTCTATGTCGTGGGAGGAAGAGATGGTTTAAAAACTTTGAACACAGTGGAATGTTTTAATCCAGTTGGCAGAATCTGGACTGTGATGCCTCCCATGTCAACACATCGGCACGGCTTAGGTAAGAGCTTAACGTAATATATTTTTTCAAGAAGGTATAGTAAGTAGTGTTTTTAAAAATTTAAATCTGGCCGGGCGCGGTGGCTCAAGCCTGTAATCCCAGCACTTTGGGAGGCCGAGACGGGCGGATCACGAGGTCAGATCAAGACCATCCTAGCTAACACGGTGAAACCCCATCTCTACTAAAAAATACAAAAATCTAGCCAGGCGAGGTGGCGGGTGCCTGTAGTCCCAGCTCTTCGGGAGGCTGAGGCAGGAGAATGGCGTAAACCCGGGAGGCGGAGCTTGCAGTGAGCTGAGATCCGACCACTGCACTCCAGCCTGGGCGACAGAGCGAGACTCCGTCTCAAAAAAAAAAAAAAAAAAAAAAAAATTAAGTCTAGCAGCATATAATTGGGATTTAGCCAAATCCTTAGTGAAAATGTCTCCAAAATGATGAAAAACTTAAGGAAATGATAAAAACCTGGGAAACATTTGTTGTTGTTGCAGGTTACTCCTGATTCCCTTCCACCAGTATTTTAAGGGGGTTTCCTTCTAAAAAGGATAACAGCTTTTCAAAGGGATTTACTATTAAATAATATACAACTACAGCAAGGAGTTTTCTTCTAAGCTCAATTTAGAGAGGAAAGTACCTGACGATTGAGAAGGATTGTGTTTCCAGTTAGATGAATCATGTGCCCGTAGTGGAGAACTTTGATTCTCCTGAATATTTGTCAGGATACCTCTTTCTTTATACTAGGCTCCAGATTTTTGCGATATCGTTAAGAGTTGGCTGAACAACAGAAAAATTTCCATTTTTTTTTTTTTTTTGATTTGACTTTTACAGAGCTAAAAAGCGGCAGATTCAGGAATGGTATTGCTTGTCCCAATTATCCTGATAAATTGACTCTGCCAAATAATACACTATATAATTATATTATCTAGTTATGTCAGTGTTATTCCTAGGCATAGCTCAGAAAGATCCTGCAGAGAAATCAGAGCAAGCTTATTTTTCAATATAATTGATATTAGTAAATAGGTAGGAGAAGTGATGATGATTATACCACTGAGAGGTTGATTGTGATAGTCAAGGTGGGGAAAAAACCAATTATGTAAATTATCATAGCAGATGCAAAGCAGAAATGGGCTATTCATAATACTTGAAAGAACAAACTTCTAACTACATTAAAAAGCTGTCTAGTAAGTTAGCTCATGGGAATCTTTTTACCCCTATATTAAACACCAGAGGTTATAAAGACCTACTACAGTCAGCCTGTAATTCTAAGGTTTATCTAAGAATCAACATCATGTTGTATCTACATGTTACATCAACAAACAATATTGAAATTTTGCCAGAAAGAGCCAGCTTTTTAAATTACATATCTAGAAGTGATGCATTCTACTGCCTCTTTTGACTTCAATGATACCCTTCTATGATATGGTAACTAAAACTGAAAGTTTCATAAGGTTAGAAAACCATACTTAGCTTTACAAGAGAGTCAGTAAACGATTCATATGTATGCAAAATTGTTTAATAAGCAAAAAAAAAGTTAAGCAATTAATTGCTTGCAAAATGAAACAATATTCATTGTGTGTGGCATACGTAGGTGAACCCACATGTTATTTTAATTTTTTTAGGTGTAGCCACTCTTGAAGGACCAATGTATGCTGTAGGTGGTCATGATGGATGGAGCTATCTAAATACTGTGGAAAGATGGGACCCTGAGGGACGACAGTGGAATTACGTAGCCAGTATGTCAACTCCTAGAAGCACAGTTGGTGTTGTTGCATTAAACAACAAGTGAGTAAGTTGAAACACACATGCTCATTGCTTCCAGGTCATATAGTACAGAACTTCAGTGATGTGATCCATCAATCAATTAGCATTCCAAACACCTGGATGTACTTGTTATCACTAATAAAAGATCTTCATTGGAACTCTCCATTAAGACTGAAAATACTTGTCTAAAATAAATACTTGATGAATACTTGTCTAAAATAAATACTTGATGAAATATTCTCTATGCTCTTGCTAATCAAGGTGTTGTCCTGGGACCAGCAGCATCCACCTTTCCTGAGATGTATTTAGAAATGTTGAATCCTAGCCCCCGCCCCAAACGTCCTGAATCACAATCTTAATTTTAACAGGATCTTCAGGTGACTTCTGTGCACATTAAACTTGAGAAACACTTTTACAGGCAAGCCAGTTTTAATTTTACCCTCAAGAAGTTACTACTTTTTTTACATTATGATTTATTTTTATCAAAACTTTAGTCTGTCTACGGTTATAACAAGGTGATTCTTTTATTCTTTCAACAATCTCTCTCCTGAGCGTTCAGGGTTCCTAAATATAGAATCCTACCTAGTCTCACCCTTCCTGAATATTTACCTCTTCCTGTCACTTGCCTATCACTTCCGAGATATTATACTAAAACATGATGATGTTAGAAGTTTCTAAGAGCTTGAATTGTTACTAGGTATTATTTGCTTTCTGACAAGGGAACTTTGGAGACAATGACCAGCATATAAGAGGGTAATGAATCATGCAAGTTTCAGACAATAGGTTGGGTCAGTTGCCAGAGACAGCCTTGTGTGTTTATATTGACTATGCATGAAGCCAATACATTATCATAGATATGGTCTCAGTCAAAATGTCAACACATTGTTTTTAGAACCTTGCACAGAAATAAATCGGAAATGTCCGTAGTTAAGAGGAGGTCCAGTTTTAAAGTGTCTTAGAGCTTAAGCTACTCCTAAATCTATCTGTGGCCTGATCTGAATAATGTCAGGTGATTCAGTTATGTGATCTCCTACCTAATACAGAACAGGATGAAAACACGAAATTTGCCCCATTTAATTGTGCTTTGCTGAGTTGCTGTTGTTTACAACTCAGCATGAAGGGAAGTTATAGGAATAAGGATTAATAAATGTCTGTCTTCTTTATTAATGCATGATAATTTTAAAATTATTTTTAAAATGCTAATCAAAAGAATGGCATTTTAAAGTGTATGGGAGAAATGTCATAGCCAATATCACTTCCTAGGGAAAAAAAAAAAAAATCTAGTTTCTAGGTTCTATCCTCTTTCCTTAGTTGTTTATTAAGTTAATGTCTTCTAAGTGATAATTTTTTAATGCAAATATAAAGTGATACATAAAAACAACAGATTCTGTTCCTAGGTAATTGAACCCTGCTAAAATTATAAGGTTGTTGGAGTTGGTCTTTGGAATATCCTGCCAATCCTTTTGATCTTTGCCTCTTTTTTCTGTGCCTCATATCCCATGAAATCTTTTATTCAATTATATTAAAATTATTGTGACAAGGATAGTGAAAAAGGGAGGTTTGGGTTGAGATAGATTTTAACAGGTGCCCTCAGGTAATGATCTATTCACAGACTTCTGCTATTCACTGCAAAGTAGTGTAGGAGTAGAATATATAGTCAGACCCTTCAGAAACTTGAAAAGCTTTGTGCAAAGTTCACTCACTCTCACTCTATGCATGCATTTTGTGTGTGTATGTACACACACATATACATACACGCGGTTCTGTCTGTTTATCTAGATTATATGCTATTGGTGGACGTGATGGAAGTTCCTGCCTCAAATCAATGGAATACTTTGACCCACACACTAACAAGTGGAGTTTGTGTGCTCCAATGTCCAAAAGACGTGGAGGTGTGGGAGTTGCCACATATAATGGATTCTTATATGTTGTAGGGGGGCATGATGCCCCTGCTTCCAACCATTGCTCCAGGCTTTCTGACTGTGTGGAACGGTAAGTTTTTTTCTATTTCTTTCTGTATGTAATTATTTGGTTATTTATTTTTTTAGAAATAGATTTTTTTTTCTTTTAAATGGAAATCAATTTATTTGTATGCCCACTCTAAGAAAATTAAATAGTACAACAGGAGTCTAGGGAGAACAAGTCCTTTCCCAGCTGGGATCCTCTAAGACTCCAGTCCTCTCCTGTTCCAGGCTCTTTCGAATATGGGATCTTAGCTAATTTTAATTTTTTAATTTTTATTTTTAATAGACTGTGTTTCATTACATTTTTAAACAACCAGAAAGTAGTCTTCCAATAAATGCTAATCCTTTTAGTGGATTTATCTTCTGTAAAATTGTACACTTTCTCTTAGGCTAAAAATATATTTTTAAAATATTCCATATTCATTTTAGATTCAGCATAAAGTATGTAAAAAGAATATGCCATCTTATTGTTATATAGTCACACTATAAAATAATAAGACAAAGTGGTAAACAAATAAATTTTGTGCCAAGCTACATCACTCAACCAATTCAGGAGACTCAAATCAAAATAAATTTACTGAGATTGGGGAAAAAATGGTGGAGAGGAGCCAGGACTAACTCACAGCTCCCACTCACATAGAGCAGTGTGTGGAGAACCATATTGTGAATTTTGGCTCTAAGAACTACCGCAGGAACGTAACAGGAAAGCCAAGAGAATCCACAGACCCTCTGAGGGAGGTGGATTGCTACATAGGGACAGCCGAGGAACTGTGAGCCTGCTTGCTTTCTCAGCTGGGAGACTTATAGCCTGGGGTAGGTTCTCAGTCCTGCTCACTGGCTGCCTTGAAATAAACTAGGTTCTGTTGAGTGGGGGTGCAGTGGGAGTGAGACCAGCCTTTCTGGCTGCAGGCTGCATGGCAGCTGGGTGAGACCTGTGGCTGCCAGCTTTCCCCCACTTTCCTGGTGGCCTATGTGACAAAGCAGAGACAGCCATAATCCCCCTGGGAACATAACTCCATTGGCCTGAAAAACACACCCCATCCCCCACAGCAGCTGCAGCAAGCTCCACCCAAGGAGAGTCTGAGCTCAGACATGCCTAACCCTGCCCCCACCTGATGGTCTTTCTCTTTAAGCTCTGGTAGACAAACAAAAAGGTCATAATTTCTTGGTAGTTCTATGGTCCTGCCCACTGCCTAAGCCTGAGGCAAAGTTGTATCCTTCCTAAACAAATGGAACTGATGGGCTCTTGAATGTGCCAACTTCTAGCTGGAGGCCAACCAACACAAAACCAGTATACTAAACAAAAATACAACCAAGGACCCTCAGAGCATACTTCACTCCCTTGCCACCTCCATGAGAGTAGGTGCTAGTATCCCTGACTGAGAGACCTGAAGATGGATCACAACACAGGTCTCATGGCAGACACCTCCCACCCCAGCAGCTCTGCTGGGTGGCTAGATCCAGAAAAGAAATAGCAATCGCTGCAGTTTGGTGCTCAGGAAAGCGCATCCCTAGGGGAAAGGGGAGAGCACCACATCAAGGCATCATCCCCATAGGACAAAAGAATCTGAACAGCAGCGCTTGAGTTCCAGATCTTCCCTCTGACATAGTTTACCCAAATGAGAAGGAACCAGAAAACCAATTCTTAAAGTTTGACAAAATGAGGTTTTTTAACACCCCCAAAAGATCACACTAGCTCACCAGCAATGGATCCAAACCAAGATGATGTATCTGAATTGCCAGAAGAAGATTAAAGAAGGTCAACTATTAAGCCAATCAAGGAGGTATGGGAGAAAGGTGAAGTCCAACTTAAACACAACAAATAAATAAATAAATAAATATCATGTAGAATACGAATGGAAAATTCTCCAGTGAAATAGCATAAATAAAAAGCCTTCACAGGCTAGGCGTGGTGGCTCATGCCTATAATCTCAGCACTTTGGGAGGCCAAAGTGGGAGGATCACCTGAGATCAGGAGTTTAAGACCAGCCTGGCCAACATGGCAAAACCCTTTCTGAATGATCACTGAGTCACAATGAAATCAAGATTGAGGCCGGGCGCGGTGGCTCAAGCCTGTAATCCCAGCACTTTGGGAGGCCGAGACGGGTGGATCACGAGGTCAGGAGATTGAGACCATCCTGGCTAACACGGTGAAACCCCGTCTCTACTAAAAAATACAAAAAACTAGCTGGGCGAGGTAGCAGGCGCCTGTAGTCCCAGCTACTCAGGAGGCTGAGGCAGGAGAATGGGGTGAACCCAGAAGGCAGAGCTTGCAGGGAGCTGAGATCTGGCCACTGCACTCCAGCCTGGGTGACAGAGCAAGACTCCGTCTCAAAAAAAAAAAAAAAAAAAAAAAAAAAATCAAGATTGAAAGAAAAAGTTATTTGAACTGAACAATCATGATAATATAACCTCTCCAAACTTCTAGGAAACAGAAAAGTGGTTCTAAGAGGAAAGTTCATAGCATTGAATGCCTACATCAAAAAGTCTGAAAGAGCACAAATAGACAATCTAGGGTTACACCTCAAGGAACTAGAGAAAAAACAACAAACAAACCCAGCAGAAGAAAAGAAAGACCAGAACTAAATGAACTTGAAACAAACAAAAAATAAGAAGATAAATAAAACACAAGCTGGTTCTTTGAAAAAAATAAACCAAATGCATAGACCATTAGCAAAATTAACCAAGAAAAGAAAGGAAAAGATTCAAATAAGCCCAGTTAGAAATGAAATGGGAGATATTACAACCAATATCTCAGAAATACAAAAGATCATTCAAGGCTACTGGGAACACCTTTACATACATAAACTAGAAAACCTAGAGGTAATGGATAATTCCTAGAAATATATAACCTAGATTAAACCAGGAAAAAATAGAAACTCTGAACAGACCAATAATAAGAAGTAAGATTGAAACAATAACTAAAAAGTTACCAACAAAAAAAGTCTAGGTCCAGATGAAATCACAGCTGAATTTTATGTGACATTCAAAGAAGAATTGGTACCAATGCTACTAAAACTATTCCAAAAGATAGAGAAAAAGGGAATCCCCCGTAAATCATTCTGTGAAGCCAGTATCATCCTAATACCAAAACCAGGAAGGGGCATAACAAAAAAGAAAACTACAGCCCAATATCCATGATGAACATAGATGCAAAAATTCTCAACACAATACTAGTTAACAGAATCCAACAGCATGTCAAAAAGATAATACACCATGATCAAGTTAGTTTTATACCAGGGATGCAGGGATTGTTTAACATTCACAAGTCAATAAATGTGATACACCTCATAAAAATATTTTTTTAAAAAATCGCATAATCATCTGAATAGATGCAGTAAAACCCTTTGACAAAGTCCAGCATCCCTTTATCATTAAAACTCTCAGCAAAATCAGCATAGAAGGGGCATAGCTTAAGGTAATGAAAGCCATCTATGACAAACACACAGCCAACATAATATTGAACAGAGAAAAGTTGAAAGCATTCTCCCTGAGAACGGGAAGAAGACAATGATGCCCACTTTCACAACTTCTATTCAACATAGTATTGGAAGTCCTGGCCAGAGCAATCAGACAAGAGAAAGAAATAAAGGGCATCCAAATTAGTAATAAGAAAGTCAAACTGTCACTGTTTGCTGATGACATGATTGTATACCTAGAAAACCCTAAAGACTCATCCAGAAAGCTCCTAGAACTGGGAAATGAATTCAGTAAAGTTTCAGGTTACAAAATTAATGTACACAAATCAGAATTGGAATCATCATGGTGGACATGAGGCAGGAGAAGATTGCAGCTCCAGACAGAGCAGTGTGCAGAGGCTTGCATTGTGAATTTTAGTTCCAGATGAACTGCAAGAACAAACCAGCAATCCTGAGAGAACCCACAGACCGTCTGAAGAAAACTGATGCTCGTGTAGGACCCGGGAGACACCCCAAGTATTGTGAGTGGCCCAACTGCAGAAGTGTGAAAGGTAGACCCTCCTCTCCCAAATATACCCACTGGAGAAACTGAAGGTCTATTTGCAGGAGTTTCCAACTTTACCTGGTGCTGAGGCAATTTAGAGGGCCGAGCGAAATACAGGGGTAGAGGAAGCAGCAGAAAGTCCCTGTGAGCTTGCTGGGTCCACTAGCAGGCCATTCCTGCCTGGTGCCACAGGGATACATTTGGAGGTTGGCCAGAGGAGCAGGGGCTGAAACTCCACAGGGAGAAGGAAATCTTTAGCTGAACTCTGTAACAATTTGAACGTTGTGAGAAGCCTCCTGGCCAGAAATGGGGGGAGGGCACAAATCTGGTGTGCCGACTCCACAGGGAGAGGAAGAACCAAGCCCTTTTCTTTTGCAGCATGGAAGCAGGTAGCCTGGGGCAAGTTTTCAAGCCCATCTAGTCCTCCACCTGGAAACAGACTCAGGGCTGTTGGGGAGAAGCATAGTGGGAGTGAGACCAGCTCTTCGGTTTGCATGAGAGCTGGGTGAGACCTGTGACTGCTGGCTTTCTCCCACTTCCCTGACAACCTGCATGACTCAGCAGAGGCAGCCATAATCCTCCTAGGTACACAACTCCGGTGACCTGGGAATCTCACCCCCATCCCCCACAGCAGCTGCAGCAACACCCACCCAAGGAGAGTCTGAGCTCAGACATGCCTAGCCCCACCCCCACTTGATGGCCCTTTCTTATTTACCCTGGAAGCAGAAGACAAAGGGCACATAATCTTGGGAGTTTTAGGGTCCCACCCATGGCCAGTCGCTCTCCATACTACCACAGCTGATACTTTCTGGAAAGTGCTACCTCCTGGCAGGAGGCCAACCAGACAAAAATGAAGCACTAAACCACCAAAGCTAAGAATCCTCACAGACTCCATTGCACCCCCCGCCACCTCCACTGGAACAGGCACTGGTATCCATGTTGAGAGACCCATAGACGGTTCACATCACAGGGCTCTGTGCAGACACCCCCCAGTATCAGCCCAGATTCAAATAGACTTGCTGGGTGGCTAGACCCAGAATAGAGACAACAGTCACTGCAGTTAAG